CATGATAAGGCAGTTTTTAGCTCACCTGTCACAAAGTGACAGGGAGAGCTTTTTGTAATCACTTTTCGTCCGGCGTCTGAGTCTGTCCCTCCGTAAACTTTTACTTTAAATGACATCTCCTCATAAACCAATAAGCCTATTTCATCCAAACTTTACAGGAATGTTCCTTTGGTGGTCAGCTTTGAAAATTGTTCAAAGAATTTAATTCCATGCAGAACTCTGGTTGCCATGGCAACCGAAAGAAAAAACTTTAGATATCTTCTTTTAAAAACCCAAAGAGCTAGAGCTTAGATATTTGGCATGAAACATCTTCTAGTGAGTGTCTACCAAGTTTGTTCAAATAAAAGCCCTGGGGTCAAAATTGGCCCCGCCCCAGAGTGTCATTGATTTTCCCAATATCCATATAGTAAAAACTTAAAAAGTCTTCTTTTGAATAACTCAAAAAGCTAGAGCTAACATATTTAGCATGAAACATGTTCTAATGGGTATCTATCAAGTTTGTTCAAATAAAAGTCTTGGGGTCAAAATTTGCCCCGCCCCAGGGGGTCATTGATTTTCCCTATGTGCATATAGTAAAAACTTAAAAAATCTTCTGTTAAAGAACCCAAACAACTAGTCTAAGAGCAAAGATATTTAGCATGAAACATGTTCTAATGGGTGTCTACCAAGCTTGTTCAAATAATAGCCCTGGGGTCAACATTGGCCCGCCCCTGGGGTCATTGATTTTCCCTATATGCATATAGTAAAAACTTTAAAAAAATCTCTTTTAAAGAACCGAAAGAGCTAGAGCTAAGATTTTTAGCATGAAACATCTTCTAATGAGTGTCTACCAAGTTTGTTTAAATATAAGTCCTGGGGGTCAAAATTGGCCCCGCCCCAGGGGGTCATTGATTTTCCTTATATGTGTATAGCAAAAACTTAAAAAATCTTCTTTAGAAAAACCCAAATAGCTAGAGTTTAAATATAAAGCATGAAACATCTTCTATTAAGTGTTTACAAATTTTGTTCAAATAAAAGCCCTGGGGTCAAAATTAGCCCTGTCCCGGAGGTCATTGATTTTCCTTATATGTGTATAAGCAAAAACTTAAAAATCTGCTTTGAAAAAAACCCAAATAGCTAGAGTTTAGATATTAAGCATGAAACATCTTCTAGTATGTGTCTACAAAGGTTATTCAAATTAAAGCCCTGGGGTCAAAACTGGCCCGGCCCCAGGGGTGTCATTGTTTTTAACTATATGTGTACAGTAAAAACTTAAAAAATCTTCTTTGAAAAAACCCAATGAGCTAGAGTTTAGATGTTTAGCATGAAACATCTTCTTATGGATGTCTACAAAGTTTGTTCAAATAAAAGCCCTGGGGTTTAAACTGGCCCTGCATTGGGGTGGCCTATATACAGGTGAGCAACCTCAGGGCCATCATGGCCCTCTTGTTATCCCCCGCCGATGGAATCAGGAGGGGGATATAGTTTTGGCGTTGTCCTTCCGTCCGTCCGTCCAAATTTTGTTTCCGGAGTATTTCTCTGCAACTTATGGCTGGAATTCAACAAAACTTTATGGGAATGTTGATCAGCATGTGAAGTTGTGCACCTGGGTATTTTCGTCTGGATATTTTTAGTATTTTTAGAGTTATTGCCCTTGACTCAGTAAAATTTTGTCCGAATTTCGTTTCCGGAGTAGTTCTCTGCAACTAATGGCTGGAATTCAACGAAACTTTATGGGAATGTTGATCAGCATGTGAAGTTGTGCACCTGGGTATTTTCATCTGGATATTTTTAGTATTTTTAGAGTTATTGTCCTCGACTTAGTAAAATTTTGTAATTTTCAACTTGTGTCGCATGTAACTCAAAAAGTATTTGACCTAGAGTCATGAAACTTTACAGGAATGTTGATCAGTATGTGTAGTTGTGCACCTGGGTATTTTCGTCTGGATATTTTTAGTATTTTTAGAGTTATTGCCCTTGACTTAGTAAAATTTTGTAATTTTCAACTTGTGTCGCTTGTAACTCAAAAAGTATTTGACCTAGAGTCATGAAACTTTACAGGAATGTTGATCAGTATGTGTAGTTGTGCACCTGGGTATTTTGGTCCGGATATTTATAGTATTTTTTAGAGTTATTGCCCTTGACTCAGTAAAATTTTGTCCGAATTTCGTTTCCGGAGTAGTTCTCTGCAACTAATGGCTGGAATTCAACGAAACTTTATGGGAATGTTGATCAGCATGTGAAGTTGTGCACCTGGGTATGTTCGTCTGGATTTTTTTTAGTATTTTTAGAGTTATTGCCCTTTGACTTAGTAAAATTTTGTAATTTTCAACTTGTGTCGCATGTAACTCAAAAAGTATTTGACCTAGAGTCATGAAACTTTACAGGAATGTTGATCAGTATGTGTAGTTGTGCACCTGGGTATTTTCGTCTGGATATTTTTAGTATTTTTAGAGTTATTGCCCTTGACTTAGTAAAATTTTGTAATTTTCAATCATAATCATCAGTCACAGGGCCAGAAAAGGAGTTTCAAAAATGCAAAATTAAAAAAATCTTGTCTGACAGTACAAGGCCTAGAGCTTTGATATTTGGTATATGATATAACATATAGGTCCTCTACCAAAATTGTTCAAATTTTAGCCCTGGGGTCAAAATTGGCCCCACTCCAGGGGGTCATAGATTTTCCTTCTTCTTGTTTGAAGGTACAAGGCTTCAAGTTCAAAGAATATTACAGTTTATGCCATGATTAATATATAAATAAAGCCTTATGTCTTCAGTTGTTGTGTTAATAATAACCAGTGCTCGGCGGGGATATAAATTCAACGAATTTGCTTGTTTCAAGTTGTTTTCGCTGCCGAAAAAAAAGATATACAAGATACATCCAATGTTAGAGGCGGATTGTAAACTGTTACCAATATTGATTCAAGATTAAAGGATTTTTTTTCAGTGGAAATAATGCATTCAGCAGATGTACCTTCTTGATTAAATGGGAGTAACTGTCATTTCAGCAATTATCTTTGTTTATATTTTTCATTGTATTTATTTATTTTATTTTATTGATTCCATTTTTTTGCTACTGGGAATGTTCGTTACCGCACTGCCCCATTTGAGCCTCTGTGAAAAAAACTACATTGATATAATATTACAAGGTGCGAAAAAACCATTATATATCAGTCAAGTTGTTTTCCTATCTGAAGCAATGATAAAACTGTACTGTTATATATCAATATAGTTTTAAAATGCTCATTGAAGTGTACTGAGTATAATGTGTTAGTAAGAACAAAGGAAAAGTTCCGAATCATGCGATGATTACAGTTTATGACACCTTCGCTCAAGGGGGTAAACAATTAATCTTTTAATTTGATCAAAATTATTGCCGATACTTGTTTGTTGGAAGGGGCACATAGATATACCAATCAAAGGATTAGTGTCACCCTTGCAATGCTGTAAGGGTATAAACGTTCGTAATAAGCGTTTTAGAATAGTTTATAAAATCTTGACAGTACGATTATTATGTATATAAAAATGTAAAATTTTTGGCTACAAAGTAGATTATGGCCAAATTTTTTATCTTGCAACTACTTATCACAGCCTCTTGATATTTGGTATACAACATTAACACGTGGTCCCATATTGTGGGATTAAATTTCAGGCCTGTCGCTCATCCATTTCCTGTTTGCCAACTTAGTTTAAGTTTCGACATTTATGGTCAACGGTAGGAAATTTTCGTAACAGTTTTCTCAGCAACTACTTATCGCAGCCTCTTGATATTTTGTATACAGCATAACCACATAGCTCCATACTGTAGGGAGCGATTTGAGGTCTGTTGCTTAACCACTTCCTGTTAAAGGTCTCAATGGTCAATGGTTGAAAATTTAATAACATTACAACATCATGATATTTGGTATACAAATGCAATCGGCCTCTTCTGTCTTTGACCCATTTTATGAAAATATATATACCACATATCCCATTTTGAATGTTATCGTTAAACTGTTGACAAAATTTTACCGTAAAACATCATTTCGTTAAATGCACTCACCTCCAGATTGTAAAATGAAAAAAATGAAGAAAATGTTCAGGTTAACAATAAATACTGATCTATTTTTAATGAATCATGAATGAAAACACCCTAATATTTCAAGCTAAAGTTTAAATCAATATTCTTCCATCATATGTATTATATAATTGATCAATTATAATTTTTTGGGACAACAAATAAATACAAATATCAAAGCCAAGGCACTTTATTAGTTTCCCTCTTTGTTTGATATGAACCAGAATTCCATGGTCACAGGTTGTGATATTTGTCCTGTACTATCATATGGTAAGAATTTGCAGGTCAGTTACAAACCTGAAAGATCTATAAAATTATGATAAAAGTATCTCAATCAATAATAAACTAATGTTATCTGAACTCGGTACACCAGGAGGTGCTTCAGCCTCTGTATCATAGAGAGATACTGTCTCTGAAGCAATGTTGGTAGTCACCTACAGGTTTAACGGGAGGGACTTTAAAGATTTACCCTTCGTATGTCAATCCACAAAAACATGATCCCATGCTAATGCAAAAAGTACTGAAAATGTTCATTTGAAACTTAAGAGATGACTAGATGTCAATCTGGAGATTAATATAATGTTTTTGTCTTTCTATAATGTTGAAAAATTTGGTTGCTATGGCAAAAAATAGAATGAAAAGTATGGTGAATATGGTATGAAAATATTTTCATGAAACTTGAAATATGGCAATACAGCCTTATAAATATTTATCATTGATAATAAAATTATGTACATGTATGATTGCACCAAAAAAATGTCAAAATGTAAAATTCTTTGTAGAGAAATTGTCCATTGCAATAAGATTGATTTTCAATGAAGGAAATTTGATGTTCTTGAGATAATTATTGGACCCTTGTATGTTGAACAGAGTGACTAAAACTAAACATATTACTGTATAAAATAGAAATGATTGAAAATTACTGAATAAAACCCAATTATTTGTATGATAATTTATGTTGTAGGAGATAAAAAGACTCCAAGTAGAAGATTCTCCACAACAAAAACAGCTAGAATATGAAAAGGCTAAATCAGGTATGTTATAATTATAGAAATAAAAAGTATAAATCAGGTATGTTATATAGAATAATTATAAAAAGGCTAAATCATGTATGTTATATAGAATATGAAAATGCTAAATCAGTTTTATTATATAGAATATGTAAAGGCTAAATCAGGTATTGTAAATAGAATATGTAAAGCCTAAATCCGGTATGTTTTATAGAATAAGAAAAGGCTTAATCAGGTATGTTTTATACAATATGATAAGACTAAATCTGGTATGTTGTATACAATATGAAAAGGCTAAATCAGGTATTTTGTATAGAATATAAAAAGTCAAAATCAGGTATTTTTTTAAAGGATATGAAAAAGCTAAATCAGGTTTGTTGTATAGAATATGAAAAGGCTTAATCAGGTATTTTGTATAGAATATGAGAAGGCTAAATCAGATATGTGGTATACAATATGAAAAGGCTAAATCAAGTATGTTGTATACAATATGAAAAGGCTAAATCATTAGTATTTTGTATAGAATATGAAAAGTTCTAAATCAGATATTGTGTATAAAATATGAGAAGGCTAAATCTTGTATGTTGTATAACAGTGACTCTCTGTTGACTAGCTTGCAGGCTGACTGATTTTTGTGCCCCACTTAGTGGCGGGCAATTAGATTTTACCCTTGTCTGTCCTTCTGTCTGTCTGTCCTTCCCCATCCGTCTGTCCTTCCGTCCGTCAGTTCTCGTTTTGTGTCGCAAATCGTAACTCAAAAAAAGTATTTTGACCTAGAGTCATGAGACTTTAACAGGAATATTTATCAGCATGTGTATTGTTGTGCACCTGGGTATTTTTGTCTGGATTTATTTAGTATTTTTAAAGTTATTGCCCTTTGAGTTTAGAGAATTTTTTTGCAATTTTCTGCTTGTGTCACATGTAACTCAAAAAGAGGATTTGACATAGAGTCATTAAACCTTACGGGAAGGTTGCTCAGCATATTTTAGTTTTGCTTGTGGATTTATCCAGTATTTGTAGAGTTTTTCCCTTGACTTAGTAAAAACCGTTTTATTATGTTGTTATTTGTTCTTTGAGTGCTTGAGTTAGAATCAACCAACTTTACAGGAATAATGATCAACATCACTAAATTACAGGAATAATGATTCACATCACTGTGAAGCTATGCACCTGGGACTTTTTTCATTTTTATATGCCGAAAGAATTTTTCGGACATATTATGTTATACCCCTGGCGTCCGTCCGTCTGTCCGTCCTTCCGTTAGCAATTTGGTTTCCGGAGCATAAACTAAAAGTTCCATTTGGCCCACAATATTCAAACTTCATAGGACGATTGTCCATATTGGGTAGAAGACCCCTTTTGATTTTGGGGTCATAAGGTCAAAGGTCAAGGTCACCATAACCTTAAAACTGAAAAGTTTCCGGAGCATAACTTAAGTTCCATTTGGCCTACAGTGTTCAAACTTCATAGGATGATTGATCATATTTGGGTAGAAGACCCCTATTGATTTTGGGGTCACAGTAGGTCAAAGGACACTATTACCTTAAAACTGAAAACAGTTTCCCGAGCATAACTTAAGTTCATTTGGCCCACAGTGTTAACACTTCATTGGATGATTGTCTATATTGAGAAGAAGACCCCAAATTGATTTTGGGGTCACAAGGTCAAAGGTCAAGGTCACTATTACCTGAATATTGAAAACAGTTTCCGGAGCATAACTTTAGTATAGGATGATTGTCCATATTGGGTAGAAGAACCCTATTGATTTTGGGGTCACAAGGTCAAAGGTCAAAGGTCACTATTACCTTAGAACTGAAAAACAGTTTCTTGAGCATAACTTAAGTTTTTTTTTTTTGGCCCACAGTGATCAAACCTTCATAGGATGATTGTCCATAATGGGTAGAAGACGCCCTATTGATTTTGGGGCCACAAGGTCAAGGTCACTATGACCTTAAAACTGAAAACAGTTTTTTCGGAATATAACTTAAGTATCATTTTGGCCTAACTGTGTTTTAAAACTTCATAGTATGATTGTCCATATCTGGGTAGAAGAACCCTAAATGATTTTGGGTCACAAGGTCAAAAGGTCAAGGTCACTATTACCCTTAGAATTGAAAAAACAGTTTCTGGGGCAATAACTTAAGTGTCCCATTTGGACCACAATATTGAAACTTCAAAGGAGGATTGTTATTTGAAGGAGGTAATACTTTATTTTACTCCCATGTCTTACAAATGCCTTATCTTTACTAAAAAAAAAATCACCATCGGGCATATAATGCTCCGCCTAGCGGTGCTCTTTGTTTAATAGAGTTTTATTGCCCTTGACTTACAGAAGTATAAATTTTGCAATTTTCAAACTTGTTCATGCATAGCCCCAAAAGTATTCACTTGTAGGCCTGAAAGTTTACAAGAATGTTGGTCAGCATGTGTACTTATGCTTCCTTGGGGTTTGCTTGTGGATTTATTCAGTATTTGTAAAGTTCTTGCCCTTTACTTTAGTAAAAGATTTTTAGTTTTCAAAAACAAATATTTGACATAGAGGTCATAAGATTGACATAACAGTGGCACGGTGGGTGCACCCGTGTCCTATGGACACATTTCTAAGTTTGTCTTTAATAATTCAAGGAGGCCCTCAGTGCTGTTATTCCTTTTCTTTAATATATTTCTGTAATATTTACACATTGATTTTGCTTTAACAATTGGAATCCCCATGTTATATTTAAATTACAGAAATGCCCCTGATTGAACAGTATCACAAAAACCCTGCTGCAGGTTCCTACAATACCTTTTACAACCAAAAAAGTAAAAAAATGTAGCTTTAATGAGATTTATATTAGGCCCTCAAATTTATGAGGGAATGAAAGAAGAAAAAAGGAGAGAAAAAGGAAGTGGAGGTTAAAACAAATGTCTGAAATGTTCACATATAATGGAGTTCCCCAAAAATCTGTGTATATTCTAGGAGATGCAGGGTCAGGAAAAACTAGTTTTTGTAAAATACCTGGTCAACTGTTGGTGTTTTTGGCACATAGTGAGCAACAAGAAGCTAACAGTGAAAATGAGGACCATGGGGGTGGAAATGAAAAACATGGAGGTGACAATGAAGAACATGAAGGTTATAATGAAGAACATGTAGGTGAAAATGAAGAACATGTTGGTGATAATGAAGAACATGGAGGTGACAATAAAGAACATGAAGGTGATAATGAAGAACATGTTGGTGATAATGAAGAACATGGAGGTTACAATGAAGAACATGTAGGTGATAATAAAGGACATGGAGGTGATAATGAAAATGAAGCTGACTATAAAAATGAGGAGCATTGGGGCAGAAATGAAAAACATGGAGGCGACAATGAAGAACATGGAGGTGAAAATAAAGAACATGACAGTGATAATGAAGAACATGGGGTAGATAATGTAAATGAAGGTGGCAATGAAAATGAAGCTGACAATAAAAATGAGCATGAGGGCGGAAATGAAAAACATGGACGTAATAATGAAGAACATGGAGATGATAATAAGAAACATGAAAATGAAAAAGAAAGTGAAGATAGCAGTGGGAAATATAGAAATGATGGTAAAAATGAAGGTGGCAATGACAAGCATGGAGGTGACACTGAAGAACATGAAAAACATGGAGGTGGCAATCAAAATGAAGGTGGTGATGAGAAACATAAAGAACATGGAAGTGACATTGTAAATGAAGAGGTAAACGAGGAACATGGAGGAGATAATGAAAACGAAAGACACATGGGTGGCATTAAGAAACATGGAAGTGACCGTGATGACATTCAGGGTGAAAGTAATGACGTAGCAAACTCTGAATTATACAGTGATGACTCTGATGGTGACTTGACAGACTCTGAATCCGACAGTGATGACTATGAATATGACAATAAAAGTTATGAACTTAAATTCAATGGTGTAAAAGAGCTGAAAAGATTTGATTTTTTATTTTACATCCCTCTTAGACAGTATCAAAACATTAACACTATTGATGAAATGCTTCAACAACGTTATCAAATGAAAATGTTAAACACACTTCTTGAAGAAGAATCTTCTAGAGTTATCATTTTGCTTGATGGCTTAGATGAATGGTCATCTGAAAATGTCCCAAAACATAGCATCTTTAAGAAGTACACAATAGTAACTACTTCACGGCCATGGAAATTTCATACATTAAGATCAAGTGATGTGGAGATCGAACAGTCACTGAAACTGAATGGGTTTGATTTTAGATGTGAAAGAGAAATGGTATATAGGACAGTCTCACAATTAAATGTTAGAAGACAAGCTAATAAAGAAGATAGAGATTGTAGGAAAAAGCTCAAAGAAGAGTCTCTGAAAAGTTTAAAACAGGTACCAATTATGCTGCAACAACTGATATGTCTATGGTTTGATGGTAAACTTGATAAAACCTCAAGATGTGCCATCTACACTAGTATGTTAGAATTATTCTTCACCTGGAATGACATGAAAACTAAAGGAACAAGTACTCGACTCATGAAGGGTACCCAGAAAGTAAACCTCCCTCAATATTTAGCAGATAAAACCAAATTAAGTTTCAACAGACATTTTATTCATGAATTGTCACAGTTGGCTTTTGAGACACTATTTAATTGTCCTAAGAATAAGTCCTTGTCATTTGACATTTGTATCTTTGATGAACTAGAAATATCAGATGAAATAAGAGAAAATTGCTTGAAACTTGGAATAATTACAGAAGATGAATGCTCGAGTTTGTCTGTATCAGAACCACCAAGCTCATTGTTCTCTTTTATTCACAAATCAATGCAAGAATTTCTTGCTGCTGTGTATATTGATATCAATTTCAATACAAAAATTGGTGCATCAGGTAGTACAGGATATGTTGAATTAGCCAAAAAGTTTATTTATGAGGTTTTTCAGAAATGTTCAACAGTAAATGACATATTAGAGCAGTCAAATGTTGTCATTATGCTATGTGGTCTAGAACCTAGATTAGCAACACATTTTTCAAAATACATATATGATACTGTGTCAGAAGACTCTCATGTACAGGAATACAGGAGAACAATAAGTAATGACTATTATAGGGTTGATAGTTGTATTACTGATATTCAAAAGCTTCTTATTGGGTTAATAGAAGAATCAAATGCAACATGTAGTGTAGGAAGTAATCCTGTGTTTTATATAGGAGATTTGACCATTTATTCATTCAATCAGTATTGTGATATTGTTTTTTCAAGTATTGATCAGCATCAAATCCTTCCTGATTCTGTTCTGTCTATTAATGTAGATCTAGATGACATCAACACAAAAAATGTTAAATTTACAAAATATTTACCAATGTTTCATCATCTTGAAAAAATTGTGATAACATTAGAAAGTTTATCAAGTAGACAGAGTAATGAACAGAGGATTGATGAGATAAACAATTGTGTTTCTGAGACAATAAAAGTAAATACTTTAACATTAAAATCTCTGTCTCTCCAAAATAATGCCCTTTTCACTGACAATTATTACCCACTGGGTAAAACAGTTGTTAGTAACCTACCTAGTATGGTCAATCTTGTAGCAATAAGAATGAGTTGCATAAAAATGAGTCATGATGATACTACTACATTCTGTAATTTTTTTGAGGGAACCAGTCATCTTGAACAAATTTATCTTAGCTATGTTTATTGTGAATGTCATAACCAGCATGATGTAAATTTATCAAAACATCAACAACTTCATTACCTTGATTTGAATTATACTGTTAGAGTGATAGATGTTGATACTACAAACCTTGAAATATTTAAATTTAGTCTGTTGAAAGATAGTAGTTATGAGCAAATATTTGATATTATTAAAAAATCTTACAAATTAAAAGAACTTGTGTTGTATGATGATGAGTCCAGTAAATCTCATTTATATCATGACAACATAACACAAAGGCTAGTCAGTGTATTACCATTGTTACACAATCTCAGTAAGCTTAAGTTACAGTATTGTAGGTTTACTGACAATATAATACAGTTACCTTTAGAGATGAAGAGTTTAAAGGACATTAAGCTTGTTACGGTAATAATGAGTTTGACAACATGGCAGAAGTTTGTTGATAGTCTTCCTAGAATTCCCCATACTGTAGATGTGAGTTTAAATCGATGTTATATAAAAGGAGATGGTGAGGAGTGTAATGATGATATGTTCACATTGATAATACAAGGACTTAAAGGAGGGAAGGGAAATGATGCTATACAGCATGTAAAAAATCAGCATCAGTTATTTCATGTTCATGTTAAAAGTGATGATGTATTATTTTTTAATTTTTCAACAAAAAGGTGATATACATGTAATATACATGTTAAGCATGATGATTACTTTGGTTTGAATTTTCAACAAAAAAGTGATAAAGTATACAAGTAGTTAACTTAGTGTTTAAACTTAATTAGTGCATGCTAAAAGTGATGATAAATGTGGTGTATTTTTTTTCATTTTCTACAAAAAAATATGGTTTGAATTTTTAACATAGTGATATAGGATACTTGCAGTTTAAACTGAATTAATTTATGTTAAAAGGACATGAATTTATTTCTAAAATGATACTTATGACAAGTTAAATATTTACATATTGTTGTACAGTTAAAGAATGAATATTATCACATAAACCGCGACGCAGGAGTGTAATCAAGCCATTTAATAAAACAATATTACACTTGTGTAATAACACTTTGATGTGACGTCATTCGCTCTATATAGAAACATACCATAAAAACGAGTGTTACAGTATGGGCGCATCATTGAAAAATTACTCATTTTAACAGTTTACTGTTCTTAATTTATTTATGTGATAAATAGAATATTATATTCATGTAGATTCAATACTAGATTTATTGAACAATATTATGCTCGCCAAAGGCTCACAATATGATTTTATTCAACTCGTTCAATAAATTTAGTAATAAACTACACTCATTCAATATCCTCTGTTTATACATTATGATAGAATATATATCATGTGAAATATTTTGTTGTTTAATATTGATTTCTTGTCATTTTAACAAAATGTATTTATAATATTGAAATTGAAGAAAGTAATATGCCAATTGTGTTTATAAATATATAAATAAATTGAAAGAAATGCGGTGAAATATTATAGATATATTGATCTTAGTAAGGGTAAAGGTTATTTTTTAAGATCAGGTATAGTTTGTGAAAAAAAAACTGATTTGAAAAAAGTAATGTTCTAATTATAAATACAAAATAGATATGTAAATAAACAAGTGTATAAATAATTAATAAGTTAATTTAATAGAAATATCATAAAACAAATGTTTAATGTACAAGGTCAGAAAAAGAAAAAGAGTAATGTAACATGCAAATACAAGTTATATGATATATAAGACAAGGGGATAGTATAAATAAATACCAGTTTTGGAATATATAGGACAGGAAAATGGTATAAAAATACAAGTTATATGAAATATAGGAAAAGGGAATGGTATAAAAAGTACCAGTTATTTGATATATTGGACTAGGGATTGGTATATAAATGAATACCGGTTATATGATATTAAGGACAAGAGAATGGTATATATAAATACCAATTATATGACAAGGGAGTGGTATATATGAGTATCAGTTATATGATATACAGGACATTTGAATGGTATATATGAATACCAGTTTTATGAAATATAAGATAGGGGAATAGTTTATATAAATTACAGTGATAATATATATAGGACTAGTGAATGTTATATATGAATACCAGTTATATGATATATTGGACAAGGGGATGTAATATGTAAATACTAGTTATATGGATGTAGAAGTGAGCACCGTAAAAATACTAGTTATATGAATGTAGAAGTGAATGTCTGTGAAAATACCAGTTATATGAATGTAAGTGTAGTGAATCTTCTATAAAAATTACAGTTATATGATATATATGACAAGGATATGGTATATATAAATATCTGTGATATATGATATATAGGACAGGGAAACTGTATATTTTATTACCAGTGATATGATGTACATGTATAGAATTATATGACAAATAGGACAGTAATTGGTATATATATTTTTTTTTTTCCATTGAGATGAGAAACATTTACCTGTTTTATTTAAGAGATTCCTTCATTATTTGTTTTATGTTGTAAATATGGAAAAAAAGTTATATTTACTAAAAATCATGCAAGGCAATTGATGTGTACAAGTTTATACTTTTAGTTAATATAACTCAATTTAGTGAAAGGATCTCCACTGAGATCTTTTGACAAGATAGGATGGGAATTGTATTTTTCGAGGTCTCATACTATTTGATAAAAATCTATTTCAATGACTTGTGTGCAAACTTTCAGATCATTTCCTCACTTTTTTTTTTCTAAAATACTAGTAATCATTTAAGCTGGACTATTCAAAGACTAAGGAGAGCTACTTAATTATCCAAGTGTATAAATCGGCATCACACTGGTTGAATTTCTGCTTGCAAGTTAGTATCTAAAACTTCTAAACTTGAAGGAAATGGGCTGAGATGCTTGATTTCTGTGGTCATCTAACATGATAAACACAAGTTCTTTAACTCTGATTTGCCTTTTTGCATATCTATGTGCCCTTTTCACCTTGAATTTCATGGTTAAGCTTGTGCATGTAACTTGGTATCTCCATAACTACAGATGGGGATGGATTGGAACTTTAGGCTCATATTTGAGTGCATAATAGGTCACTGTCCAAGGAACTTTACTAAGACATGGATTTTGACAGAATTATTGCCCTTTGAAAAAGGCGACATATAGTGATTACTTCTGTCGGCGGTAACAGCAACGGTCCATAAGGCTTGTTCACACTATAACTCAGATTGACTTCAAACTTGGTATGCCTGCTTCTTTCAATGGCCAGAACTGCAGTGCATCTTCTTATCTTTTTGAGTAATTGTCCCTTTGTTAATTTTAATACTTAATTTTTGTCCGGGCCATTTCTCCTAAACAATGAAAAATATGGACGTAAAACTTCATAGGATAATAGATCTCATTAAGAAGAAGTGCAGTGCACAAAAACCGGTCTCTGCACTTCTTTATTTTTCAGTTATTGCCCTTTGTAAATTCTCATAAATTATTTTTGTCAAAACCATTTTCTCCTAAACTGTAAAACCTATCAATTTGAAACTTCATAGGATTATATATCTCATTGAGGAGAAGTGCAATGCACAAGAATCAGTACCCTGTACTCCATGGTCTTTGAGTTATTGCCATTTGTTAATTTTCATACTTAATAGGCTTGTCCAGAGCCTTATTTGGTCCTTGGTTAAGTTTGATTGACTCCAAATTTAGTATGCAACTCTTTTTCATTGATCTTAAGTGCAGTGCTTAAGAATCCATCACTTAGTCCTCCATTTGATTTTTTCCACGGTACTGTATGTGTATTTGAAATTACAAAAGCAAATTTTTATTTTAGCAGAAAGGTCCACTTTTTGGGCCTTTGCAAATATTCGCGATATTTTGAATACAATATCCTCTATCAACCCGACAGCCATTCATTATGAACTTAGTTATTATCATAATAAAGAATAAATATTCATTACAGAAGTCTATATTTATTTAAACTGATTACTATATTTGAGTAAAACGATCATACATTTGGGTTGTTTATTGGCTAATTAAACTTGTTGTCACAATTTTGTACCATGTAAACAATGTTACACATATTTGTAACATGAAATGTTTATTGAATGTATCCAGTACAAATATGTACAGTCACATGTTATTAGATGTTTATTGTATACTATAACAATATATAAATGCCTATGTAATTCTTCAATTGGTTACACAAGTTAGATTTAAAGGCCCATTAAGCCTAAAAATGCTATCACTTTTATTTTTGAAAAACATTTTATCATTGGCGATATATCTGAGCCATCTCTTTTTGCATTTCAGCAACTAGTACAGTAATGATGAATAAGTATTTAATATGGAAGTCAAATAACAATTTTGTTTACATTTTGCTACCCTAATCATATTTTCTTGTCAAACTCAATATTTTGTCAGTTGTCAGGTGATAAGAATATCACATGTTCTAAATCTATTATAACAACATTATAAAACACATATTTGCCTATTTTACAAAAGTAAAAATCTATTCATTTCTGAGGCGTTATGTGCCTTAAAATGTTTCATGTATATGTAGAGTAAATTCATTTGCATATAAGTAAACATATATATGAAGATGAAATTAATTGTTTGCTAGGTATATGAATGTTTATGTTTATTTTATGTTATGTATTACAAGCACATGCATCGGACATGTTTGTTTGTGACTTGAAATTTGAATATATAATTCTAGTACAGTTTTATATATGTAATTATATGATAACAGATCTATATTGACTATGTTTATGCTTAAAACAGTTATAGTTTAGATAATTTAATGCTTGAATATGTAATGTCAATTGATTATAATTTCTTAAAATTGAAAATGTTCATTGCCAGCAGTATTCAGTAGATCTATATGTTATTATGTTACCATATAACTTGTCGGAGTGAACTAAACAATCTTGAAACTGTTACAACTATTCTATTCACTTGATATGGAACTTTAATTATTTATTGAAATTAGCTTGCTTCAATAAAGAATTGGATGTTAATAAGTAACTTAAGACTTCAGACATTGATTGATTGATATTTTGTCTTATAAATTGTATTGTCTCCTATTTTTTAAGGTTTAAAAGTTTAAATATCGTCAGAATGGATACAACAGATCCATCAAATGAATTTATCCAACAATAGCTGCATGTATATCAGTATAGGAAAATGTTAACAAAATATAAGCAATATATATAAATTTATATGTCATGGAAGCTTTATTTTATAGAAAGCATTGTTGTTTTGCTGATTTTGTTATTATTATGTAGGATTATACTTAAAAGATAAAATAAAGTTGTTTGATTGGTTTTGATAGCATGAATGTGTGACTTCTCATAATAAAGAGTTGTACAGAATTGATTTGTTTGTTTAATTGGGTTTTACGTCACATCAACACAGTATCGGTCATATCGCGACGTTCCAGCTTTACTGATGGAGGAAGACCTCAGGTGCCCCTCCGTGCATTATTTCAGGCACGAACGGGCATCTGAGTAGAACCACCGACGTTCCGTACGCTAGCTGGATAGCTTCCTCACATGAAAGAATCCAAGTCCTGGGCAGTCGGGATTCGAACCCACACAGGTGAGGGACAAGTGGTTTGAAGTCAACGACCTTAACCATTCGGCCACGGACGCCCCGTATTGATTTGTGTTTTATTTATTTCCCCTCTTACAAAACAAGTTAAGGGTATAAATCTTGTTCAAATTTTACTTCCCGGTATTGTTTATTCAACAAAGACTACGCTATTATATAGTACACAAATAATGCTATGTACAATATAATAATATATAATACAATATAATAACAATTAGACAAGACTTAATAGTGTGCCAAATACTATTATTCAAGGTGTTCGCGTTTTATCCATCGCATATGTCGTCATATATGACGTAATATAAATTAAACCACTGGTTAAAACTGGTAACTCCACGATTTTTTCGAGTTTTCTAAAATTAATTTTATGATCCGGCTGCATTATTAGTAAGCCTGTACAGTTCCATTAAGTTTGCCTGGTCTTTCCGTTCATTATTCGAATCCTTTTAGTTCTAAAACGTGAATGATTGTAAATCAAAAGTATTCTTCATTATAGTTCAACACGTGTCAATTGTATATAATGCAATTCAATTCTTTTATTCATTGAAAACACATGTTCATATGAATATAAACAGCTAACAAAACAACAAAAACTTCATCAAACATAGGATAAAAACAAGTTCAATTACATGACTGACACAATTTCAACACTTATAATGAATAGTGCTATATACAATAGATATACCATTGTAAAATAGAAAGGAAAAAAACAGAATTAGAGAATGACAAGTGACCCCCAAAAAAATCTCATTGAACAACTGACAGAATTTGCTCAGAAATTCACCTAGCACTCAATTGTACATACTGCTTAGAGGACTCTTCATTTACACAATATCGGTTCACAATATTTTACAGTAGCCGTAATTGTTTCAGTCTAAGCAACAGCTCGAGTACTTAAGATACTAGATCTATATCAGGACAAAAAGTTTGGCTGGATTGCTAGACCATACTTTCGCCTATTTCGAACCTACGAATTATTGATGTCGGACTCGTTTCCAAAACTACCGGTATCAAATTTGTCCTTTCCTACGAACAGTGTTCAACGTAAATGGTTTTTTAAAATCATATTCTATATTATGATTTTTTTTACCTCTTTGTAAAATTAATGCATTTTATCGTAAATTAGTTCAAAACAGCATTCTATTAATGTCTTGTTCAGCCGAGTGACTTTGATTTACTAGTTTTGAATCATCTTCTTAAAATATATATTGCCCTGACACGTGACCTACGTAACATCCTTTCTTGGCTTTGCATAATTGAAAACGTACATAAACATATCAGATTGATATTAAAAAAGGAAACTTGTAATAAAATAAATAAATGATATGATATTGTTAATTATTTTTTCATAAAGGAGCATGTACATACATTGTAGAATATAGATCTAATCGATGAAAAGAAGTTTTATGAAATTTCAATAAAAATTATTTATTATTTTACATAAAGTCATTAAAAAACAATAAACATGACACAAATGAAATTCTGATGTTAACGTTATAAGATGTCAATGTCTGTAATGTAACTAGAAAGTATTTAAGGCATTTTAGATTTTAAAAGTATTTTAATAGTATTTTTAATGACAGTGTATTAAAGTTTATTTGCACATGTCAACATAATACCATATGAAAATAGACCATTCTTCTTAAACATGTTAATTGAAAAGCATGAATTGCTTCCAATGCACACGACCGTGTCATAATATTAGTACTTTATGGTCGTAATCATAAGGCTGTTTAATCATGTTAACGTTCCAATAAAGAGTAATTTGGCACCTAAATTGAAAATTTAAGTTATACCATTCACTTGTTTATAGGGTGTAACTAACCCCAACAATGCAACATTAGAATGTTTGAAATATGGTGATATAATGGTATTTAGATACCCGTAATCAGGTAAATAAGACAATGTTTAAATTCAGCACTGTGCTGTTGCTAATGTACAAAACAACAGACACTATCGCCTAGCACCGATGTGATAGTATTGTCACCACCGATTAAAACGATTGACACTGAAAGCAGACGTTAAAAGCCAAGATGGTTAGCTGTTATGTTAATTTGTCTGTGTTACAGAGTTCTGGAACGATTTCATAACTGTCAAAACATAGAATCAAATTTGTTCTCAAGCCCAACTTCTGGTATCTGATGACAAAAGCAAAACATATTGGATGCATGCATAATAAACATATTAAAATTATATTTTAAGAAAATATTTTCAGTGGCTTTTCTTTACAGATAATCATATTGACATTTTGTCTTTTGACATTGGAATAAATAAAAGACTTGCAGTATAATATTACACTGATAATAAACGATGATGATAAAGCATTGAACATCTGCCAATGTATGCTATTCTGAAACAATTTAGCAAGGATACAGACTTGCTAGTGTATCTATTGTTTGTACATGCATTGTCTCCTTAGAGATCTAAAACAAAACATATTTGCCTTCGATATTTGTGTAAAAACATATATTAATGCACTTTATGGTTGCATAATATCCTTCTGCATCGAAACAAAATAAGAACTTGTGTGTCTACAAAGAGTCAATATTTTCGATAATGAATTTGCATTTTATTGGAATATTTGTTTCAGATGAACAACAAAAGGTGTGATTTCATTTGCAAGTAAAGACGGCTTAGATAAGACATTAAGGGCATGTTTCTATGGGTAAAAATGAAGAAATATAATATTAAGCACTGAACAGATCGCTGTTTTGGATCTGTGTAAAATAGTTTCACACTATCTCAATACAATTATACATAAATTATTTAAGAAAGTTAAAAAAAAACCAAAATACAACGAAACTTTATAACTACTCAACGTTTTAGCCAAAACCTATGTACATATCTAAAATATAGTAAATTGTGGCCTTGTGCTTAATACGACTGGCTCTCTAAGCCAGTTTCATTATTGAAAATAGTTTATAATTTCAGTGTGACAGACATGTTGTACTGATAAATAATAGCTAAGGTAACTAGACCTATCACTAAAAGTGATTCATACCACCACTAGCAACCTTGACTGTTTGAAAAATAAGTGGTCTGGAGAAATATTTGAACTCGACATATAATTTATAAAGTTACAACTATGTACAAAGAATTATTTCAATTAATAGCAATCCCAACCAGGGTCTTCTTATAAGCTTGCTTTAAATACCATATCATTTCTAACGCTAGTTATTGTCCGAAAACCATTTTACTATGTTTAGTAACAGTGACCTTGATCCCAGGGGGCCCAAAAGCAATCCTCGCTGTCGTCTTTACATAAGCTTGCTATTTACCAAGTTTGCTTACAATATCTCATTCTAAACTCTAGCTAGTTATTGTCCATAAGCCAGTTTTTTTTCTATTTTTAGTGACAGTGACCTTAAAACCTTGACCCTAGGAGATCCATATTGAGGTTGCTATGTACTAAGTTTTATTACAATACCTCATTTTCAAACTATAGTTATCGTCCGGAGACCAAAAAGGAGACCGACAAACGGACGGACCGACCAACCGATCTACCGAGAAGCTATATACCCCAACCCCCTAAACTTCGTTTGTTGGGGTGTAATAAAAACGATTTGTATGTTGCATTCCGCTGTAAAATAATTAAATATTCAATTCTTGTGAAAACTTTTTAATTGTAAATCATTATATTTGTCCAAATGGTTAAGAAAATTAACTGAAACGATTGCATGTTTTAATATTATTTATTATTATACCAGAATTTTAAAACGCCCTTTTTATTCATACGCTCATCAAAGGCGCTGAATTCTGATACACTTCTGCAAAATGATTTAATCCATCCCAATGAAAATAATTTAAAAAGAAACAGTAATCATTAAAATGAATGATTTGCAAGTTCCGCTTATTACTTACGCTCACTGTTATATTGTCTTGGTAATATCTTGGTCTGAATTCGGAAACGACGTTTAGATTCCTTAATTAAGATACCGATAGAAAAACCATTACGCCGCGCACTTGTTTTCTGTGTTAAAACTTTCTCTTTTACCATTTCCGGTAATTTCAATATTTCTTATAGAATTAATTGTTTTGCCTAATGTATAAATAAAATTAATAATATCTAATTATGTAATTATTTGAACCTTTTATTTTGGCTAAATCATTTCTTAAAGAAAACAGCAAATAATTTGAGAAAAAGCTAAGACGTCGTTTTATTTTTCACTGAATAATGTAAAGTCGATTAACTTTTCATTGTTTATTTCTGTCATCATTGTAAAATAGGATTTAAAAAATGAAAAAAGCTGCCATTCCATTATGCCATTTCATAAAAAATGTTTACTGCTTCATTAAGTCGTTCATTTGATGATCACTGTAAGAATTGCATGACCTATTATTTATGTCACTCAAGGTATTCCTAGAAACACTTAAAAGCCAGATTTGTTAAGTGTACAGAAAACATGTCGTAAATGCTTTTATGGAAATTACTTAATACGTCTCATGGATCGTCATTTAAAATACTACCTTCATTAATGATTACTTATTTGTATTTTATAGTTATGTCGTAATGATCATTTTACATAATTTACATGATATTGCTTGATATATGAATTCAATCAATGCTGCTATATATGAAATAACAAACCGCAGTACAATGCTATTGTGTATTTACTTTTCCTTAGTTCAAATATTCATTTATATGATAAGGAATTTATATTTGTATTACCGTGATATTGATTAGATATGTGTCTGTTATTTATAGAGAATTATACAAGTTTCAATAAGTTATAATCATAAGATAGTTTCAATAACATCTTAT